GGTGCAGATCCACAAAAACGTAAAGAATCAAGTTATTATACATATTAAAATAATCAAGTTTTTATAATAGAATAGAATTATCATTACACGCCCTGACCTCGATGATAAGCGCGCCACGAGAAACAGACTTAGTGACTCAAATGAGCTCAGTCTAAGGCCCCCATAAATCAACGTTCACTTTAAGAGTTTATGGACCGGAATAGAATTCTGCTGAATTATAATAATAATCATAAATATGTACAAATATGCGTTGATTGAACGCACCATGATTCTAATCAAAGTATACTTGTAACTTTCGGTACTTTTAGTCTCACTTTGCAGTCCCGCTTCAAATAAGCCTCCAAATATTCACTCCGAATTTTGGCACTGATGTCCCGATACTTTATGAATCATGAACTAACCTTTATAGGTTATTGCAAGAAAGTGTTGAACTTTTATAGGTTGTAACAGTATTTTGTGACCCAGATATACGTTTATTTAAGTTTAGGACGTAAGCGTCACTTGAGATCCAACAGATATGTGAGTAAAAACACTTGAAACGCATTACTTGAAGCCTTCTTTCAGCGAGATATGCATGCATCTACAAGAAAAACATGAGGACATTTGCTTGAGACAAAATTTCCATTCTTCTTCCGAGAATTTGTTAACAAATATTTTCGAGCCTTGGTGCAATTTTTGATATCCTGATTAGTAACTGTTTAAATATATTTAGGAAAAACTGTTAAAAACTGTTAAATAGAGTTTAAATCTAAATCAATTTTCGGCCACATCTTAACTCTGCTGATTAATCACGTAGCAAAATCTACGGTGCGTGATATTTCCGCTTGTTTACCCACAACGGTTAAAAAAAATAAAACTTGCAGTACTCACTGCAGTGAGTGACAGAGAGCGCATTTTCTCGTCGACGAAAACTTGAGGTCACGGACGGACGGATAGACGGACAGACAGACGGAAATGGCGAGCACAATAGTGTATTTTTCCTATAAAGAGAAAATGCGCTAAAAAGACATGTTACTTCTTTGGCGCTCGATTCGTTATGAAACATCGATATAATCCGGAATAGAAATGCGTTATGAAACAACGATATAATCCTGAATAGTCAACATCGATATAATCCTGAATAAAAATGCGCGATTAAAATTAAAGTCAGACGACGTAAACAATTTGCATCAAAAATACCAAACGCTGACACAAGAGGCTAATAAATAGCAAGCGCTTGCGGCCGAGAAGCGCCCCAAGAATAGCTGGCCTGACGCTCGACTCAAGAAGCTTCTTGTCATCTGAGGCCTCCTCAAGACTCCTCATATCGGGCATGCTTGGCCAACGCGAGTGGCCATAGAGCGATTGTTGGGGCATCATATCATTGGCTTTCTTCAGTAAAATTTTTAAAATACAGGTTGAGAATTATTAAAATATTTAAATAGTATATGTTCGACATTATTATGAGGAATAAAGATTTTTTTAAAGCCCCAACTTCCTAACATTTGAAGTATTTATACTAATTATGAATAATGCTCATCTTGATCAATTGCATTCCCACTCTAGTTTTGTATATTTTTTTCGTTACCATTACGAAATTCATTTGTTCAATTTAAATGTGAATTACCACACTCGCACTTCATAGGATCAATTTCTGCACTCATTGGCAAATGCACTTGCGGTTCATTATTGCACAAACTGTCAGACTTTGATTTCAGTTTTAACTGCGGAGCTGAGAGGAAGCGCTCTGATAAAAGACTATCATATCTCGCGTGGTCGTCTGGTGCAATTCACTTGAGCCCGCTTCTCGTAAACAAACACTTCAGTTCAAGTGAAGTCACCAACTCAAGTCCCGTGCGTCAAGGCGAACTTTAAAGGATATTTTTGAAAGCCTTGGTGTTGCGCAGTTACGTGCGAGCCCTTATCGAAAATTGGTGGCTGCAAATAGGCGGGGGCGTTGCTTCTATGGCCTGATGGTTCTAAACTGCCTATGAACCTTGGAATGAAATGTTATGCTTAGTTTAGAACTGTTTCGTTAGAATCCATATTGTAAACTATACTTAATACTTTTACGTTACTATCAGTTTGTGCGAAAATTAAATTAAGAATATTATTCTTGATAATATGACAGGATAAATAATTTGAAATAACTAACTCGTATTCCCAATTAGGTTTATATAAAAATCCAGCAAACGAAAGGATTTACAGTTTTTCTTACATTTTCTTAATCGCATAACGCATACAGGTCGTACATTTTTCATTAAAAAATAATATTCGAAATAATTCGTTATGCGCATTATCATTTGTGTATTTCGATTCAAAGTTTAGGAAATTCGTCCTCAATGTATGCGCTTGTGCATCCCAATCCCGGTAAAACTCAGCGATTACCCTAAGTGTATGTGCAAAAGTTTCTCTTATGTCAATTCTAGAGCAACCATTTCTATTTTCAGTGTAACTTGGACTAACTGATTTTGCCTAAGCCGCGTAAGCAAACCTATAATAAATTTTGTCTATCCAATACTAAACATCTTGACGACATATATAGCAAAATTAATCTTACTGTGCTTTACAATGTTCTAAATGAATTATCAAATTATGTTGACCATTCGAAATCAAATTTTGCCCATAATCCATTGACTAAACTAATCAAACCAACTTACTAATTTTAATGAACCAATTTTCAATGCAAAATAAATTTGTGCGTAACTATCGGCCTGAAAAATTCCTAATCCGCCACCCTAAACAAATTGAAAGCAATATGTTCCCTAAGGCACCGGAAATCATCGCGAGTGCATGAAACTGTTGAAGGAACCGTAAGCCCTGCTGATAAAATGCTCCCCACTTGGCCGTCTGGGCAGCGAAATTCACGGCACAAACGAGCAAATATTTACAAACGCAATGTCCCTTATCACCGCGTGTACACACCCGGTCCACCCCTGGCAGGTGGCCTCTGTCTGCCATGAGCAGCTCGACAATTTCCATCAAAATCGATCAATACCATCTTAATATTTAAGATATTATGCTTTGCTACGAGTCCCCAAAGATTATTGCAATATAAAGATGCGATTACAAAGCATTTATTCATATTTTTATTCTGAAAATTTGTATTCTGGACATAGTAATAGGAAATTTCGCGGCTTGAAATCCGTCACCAAACTTACACATAAGTTATGATTTTAATGTTAATTACAAAATGATAGGCTAATTTTTTTTATAAATATCATCATTACTGAAGATGAAAGTAAAGATAGCACCGATCGAAATGGCAAAAAAAATCATATCGGGGTCAGCTGCTTCGAGAAACTATGATCGACATGATCTGTTGCAAAAAACTGGCCCAGTCTTGAAATTCATCAGAATTTTAGTGCTGCGCTGGCATGCCTGACGCCTTAATTATGGGTACTTGTCGACACTCTATTGGAAACTGCTGTGATAGCTGCACTTAAGGTATAAATTGTACAGTCAATTACCGCTCTTCAATACTTTGTTGCATACGCGAAAGCGTTTCTTCGGTTGCTTATGGGAGTAAAAATACTGGGCTGTCAGCTTGCGTGTCAAGAGCTGCGCAATCCTGCCTAGTTTCATTTTAACAGCGGCCTGCTCGAGCGTAGTCTTGCCTGTTAGTTTCCGACTGATCCAGCAGCGCGAAAAACCAAATCCTTGAAAGCTGGAATTATATTCAGTTAGAAAATGAATGACTATATTGATAGTTTTAATTTGTTACAGTAACATGGTGAAACTAACCATAATCAGCATTGCATCAATGTGGTTTGTTGTAATGAGTGAAATTGTCGAAAAGATATACATTGTAATTACTGAAATAGATCAAGCAAATTGAATTGAAAAATATAGCTCGAGAATGATTGCAATATGCGGCAACGTACGTCTTTTTGCGGTATTCATCATAGAATGAGGCTTCGGGAATTTATAAAATGTTATTTCTTTACAATATCGAATGATCGTATATACTGTATTTTTGTACAAGCGTTTTCCCCAAATGAAATATTGTGTTTATAGCCCGTAGAGTTGAGGAGCGTTTTTACCCGTCGCATGTTTCAACACAGTGAAGAGATATCGATAGAAAGCGGAAAAATGGAGAAAAAACATTGATGATATATCTGAATAATTTACACTACATCTTGCTTGAAAACGTCCATACTATAAAATCTCTTCCTACATTTTATATTAAATAGTATACTTTATACCAAAAAAAAAAATCTTGCGCATACAGGCCTGCCTCCTAATTTTTCATCCATTCCGAGCGATGAAAATTCGGCATAGTAGCAGAATTAATTATCGGAATAAAATTGATTAAAATAAATAAAAAATATCAAATATCCTTAAACAATTAATAAGTCTACTTATTTTTGAAAACTGTTCAATTGATCTCATTATCTCATTATAACTATAATTGCTCTGCGGTCTGCGTATAAACCAGGCCATTCGTGCGCTGTCATGTCTGCTTGGCGATTACAGTTTTGTTTTTAATTCGCTGATTCAAATATCATGCTTGGCAATTTCGTAACGCAGTTGCACCCACTTTGCCTTTATCTTTACCGTATTAGTATAATTATCCTGTATGAGATGATAGTATTGCTTTTATAAACACGTGATGGATTTTTAATTTCACCACGAACTGAGCAGTAGCAAATATTTAAGAACTATTGAAATTGTTTTTGTCTCTCACGTCTTTAGGGAATAAATGGGGTCAATTAGTTAGATATTAAGATGAATTTGTAAGCACGTTCGAATTAAAATATATGTGCTAAATTACATGGCAACAACGATATGAAGACGACCAAGGAATCATAGTATAAAAGAATGGGCAATGAACATACTCTATTTGCAATTATAATGAGCACTAAATTAAATTAACGTAAGTATTGGTTCACTTGATAAATGCATGTCTGTATATGTCCAAATGATTACAGAACGACCGTGCCTCGTTATCGTGACCTAACAAAGATGGCGTCAAGGACTTATTACCCTGGAGAAGATTTTCGTACATCAGTACGGCCTGAGCTGCTGTGAGGTGAGGGTGTGTCGCATCACACCTCTGTGAACTCTGACTGGGTTGATCAACGTGAAGAAATTAGAACAATAACAGAAGTGCAGTGTTATAGTGTACCTACTTCATGAATTAAATAACGTGGATTCATGTTTATCAATGGTAAGTCACCATAACCTATAATATTTTTTTTCTTGAAAAAATGAAGCGATTTGTGTAATACATTTAATCGAAATAAATTTCTTCATAACGTTTTATTAATTTTATAAAAAAAAAACAAATTTCTTTATAAAGAAATATAAATCCCTATAAAAAAATGTATAGAGATAAATAAGAAAATACATAAAATTGTAAAAATCGGGATAGAAATAATGTTTTCATTGCATTTCAGTTCCTTAAATAACTTCATATCTTGAATTAAATTTCTGATTATATTAAATTTCTGATTATTCATGTCGTGTATAAAGACATGTTTCGTTAATGCTGTAAGGCTGTCTTTAGTTCCTTTGATATGTAACGTGCCATCCAAGTAACGATTGTACCAAAAGTCACGATAATCTCTTCGTAGAATAATAATAATAATTATAATAATAATAATAATAACAATAATAACAATTATAATAATTATAATAATAATAACAATAATAATAATTATAATAATTATAATAATAATAATAATAATAATGTCAATAATAATAAGAATAACAATATAATAATCAAACAATTTATTATGTGAAATGAAACTTGTATACTTAGTTTATTTCACATTTTTTCGTAAAATATCGTGCATAATTAAGGCAATGACAGCATTCCTATCATCGCTGTATATACGCTAGAATCTTTTCATACTCGTTTCATAATGCTATTATCTTTCTATACTACGTTCAACATACTATAAACATTATATCCTTGGTTCACTAAGCAATAAGATCTAAAAACTTATTTCACCATACTATAAACTTTATATCCTTGTTTACTAAGATATAACCTTTATAAACTTGTTTCACAATACTGTAAACTTTATATACTTGTTTCATTAAGTTATAACTTTTATAAACTTATTTCACCATACTATAAAATTTATATACTTGTTTCATTAAGCTATAACCTTGATAAATTTGTTTCACCGTCCTATAAACGTTACATCCTTTTTTCACTACGCTATAACCTTTAAAAACTTGTTTCACCATACTATAAACTTTAAATCCTTGTTTCACAAAGCTACAACCTTTATAAACTTGTTTTACCATTGTAATGATCTTTAGTGCCGAGGTTCAATAAAGATCTTCCAATTAACACAATTAATCACTTTAATTGAACGAAAAACGAACACTTAAATTACTAACATTTGAACAAAGTTAAATAGAACAGAGCATATAGTTTCATGGCACAGAACTGTTTCTCCTTCATATGCTTAAAGCTCAGCATGGAACATGGTTCCACACAACACAGCAATAGAGTTCCGTATGCACGAACACCGAATCTTCAAGATATCACTGCTTCTTCTGGACTTCTATCCTGGTTGAATTCTTCCTACACGAACAAAATTGAATTTACGGATAAATCAAATCGGATAATTTCCCTACTAGATATCTCACATAGTATCTGCAAACAGATAATAAATATAATATTGACACGTGCAATAATGACAGTAGAATGTCTCCACAGCTCTTGAATATTACGCATACCTCTGCAGTTGTCTGGATTCACAAACTAGTCCTTGCCTTTGCCCTAAAACAAGTCTGCCCGGAATTCGTACGATGCTACCGGAGCGTCAACACCTTAACCTTATTCTACCTTCTACACATTGGTTACTTTTGTTTTTCTTCTCACTCTGTTTCCCGAAGTACTCCTGAATATCCCTACTACCGTACTATATACTTTACCTACTTGTTTCACTAAGCTTTAACCTTAATAAACTTATTTCACCATACTATAAACATTATATACTTGTTGCACTGAACTATAACCTTTTAAAACTTTTTTTCTCCAAACTGTAAACTACATACATTTTTCACTAAGCTATAATCTTTGTACACTTGTGTCACCATACCATAAACTTTATATCCTTATTTCAGTAACACTAAAACATTTATATACTTGTTTCACCATACTTTAAACTTTCCTTGTTTCACTAAGCTAAGCAGCGTCCGTTACAACAGCTACACACGAAACAAATTAATTCTATTGGCCTTTTCCAGGAGTTGCTCAGTAGAGGCGAGTGACGCGACTCGCTTTCACTGGGCTGTAGTCCCTCGAGTTCAGGGCGTGCGTCTCAGTATTCCATACCTCAGGTAAGGGCAACTTCTTGAAACGCGCTTTTCAAAGAGACATACTTTCTGGGACCTTGTGTATTCATCAGCATGCGCCTATGAAAACGGGCATAATTAATGTTTATTTATGTTTACTGCATGCGCACATACATATGGCGTCGTAACTGTAGGGAAGTTGTTGCGGGGACGTTGGTATTTGTATAGAATAAAACACGACTTGTGTTGGGCAGCTTTTATGCATTCATGAGCATTATATGTGTGCAAATTTGTATACCTTTGAGCTCAAACATTTATTTTATGGATAAAAAATTCATTAAAATGCATGGTTGTTGCAGCAAGGGAGGCAAACTGCAGAAGTTGATTCAAGTCAATATTTTGTTATAATCAACAATTTATTGGGCTGTATTATCAATAAAATAAAATAAAAATGAATTTAAAAGTCGAAACAAGATTTTAAAATTGATTTCTCTTTATCTGTTAATTTAATCAAATCGCGCTCTGAGGTACTAGCTTTCAAAATAACTTTGAGTCTTTTGAGATCAATTTTCTTTATTCGAATTATTTGCCCATAACTTGTATGAAAAGAATAGTGATTTTTTTCCCAGTGATAATTAACTTGAAACAGTTTTATTTTTGTCCATTCTTCCTTCCCATTTTCTCTTGACTGCAGAAGACTGTAGCTCTTACCAGATTCCGAATGAGGAAGTAGTGAATAATATCTAGTCTGAGGCTGGCGTATAGCTACAATTACTTTTTTTGCCACTTAAATTTCCTCATAAGTCTGAACTTCAGTCTTGACCATGCGAGCTTGAGACTGCAGTATTTACAATAAATCTTATAATCTGATGAATAAATTCGTCCTATTTGTGGTAGATACAGTACAGAGACAAAAAGCTCTCATTTTCTAACTTATTCAGGTACAGCATAATATAGTATTTAGAGTTCGGAATGATAAGGCGTTATAAAACATTATTATATTATTAAAAACATTATTATATTAAAACATTATTATAAAACATTATTATTATTTATAATAATATTATTATGAATAATAATAATGTGACAGGCGTGGCCACCCGAAATTGCATCTTTAGTTTGTGTCAGACTTTATTCATTCTCACTACATTTTACGAGGCTACTAAAAAGGAAAATAATAAAATTACACATAGTATTCATTTAATTTATGATCATTAACCATCCGAATTCAAGTGACTTTCTTTCGTTTAATTGCCAAGGGGAAATCAGTCGTCGCTCCCTCGCAACTCATGACTAAACATTGTGCTCAGACGTGTACTAATTCATCATATTTAGACTCTCAATTCTTTGCATTGTGATTTCTGGCAGCCCTGGTGGTCTTCGTTTTATGTTTCTAAGTGGTACGCTCGTACGCTCATCCACCTACAGCTGGCCTACCATAAACCTCCTATGATTCGCAATTGAGTAGCAGTGATCAATCCAAGCAACTGTCGGGCTCACGCAGCACAGGAACATCGGTGCTCATGACGGTTTTTTTTTGGTCCTGGGTTTTTATCTCGTTGTTATATAGCTCATTAAATCTAGAGTACAAACTTACTTTTACTTTCAATGCTAATTCCCGGTAGGTTTTATTACAATATCAACACAAAATCTTACATAAAATAAGCAAATATCGAAAATTGCGTCACAAATTTTAACAAAATTGCAACAAAAATGTAGCTCACACGCCCAAAATTGTTTCGAAAGCTTGAAAATTAAAAAAAATTAATCGCATGAACAAAAACAGATTGTGTTCTTTGGACAAATTTGTTTCTTTTGCAACTTTCCCGTCAAGAATATCAAAAATACGATATTCTCGTTAGATATAAATCAGATTAAAGTTAATCATTTAAATATATTCTAACTTAATTTCCAGATAAATAAAAACTCGGGAAGAGAAAGCTAAGTGTAAATCTTGTCTCTACTTCTATCCCTGTTAAATTGATCTTTTTTAACACTACCAATTTTAACACTAAACATTTAAAATAAATGTATTATTGTCAAGCGAATCCATCTGCGTAACTCTTCGGTAATGAGGGCCGCCACCTGGCGTATGCTCGGGAGCAGCATTAGCGCGAGGGACGTGAGGGCGGACGAGGGGACCAGCAACACGAAGAGCGCCGCCTGTCACGCGCTCCTTGTCTAACGTTCTTCTGAACCCCAAAATGAAAACTTGGGGAATTAAGAGTGTTAACTGAGAAACGGCTTCAAAAAAAAATTCCACATGTATAAATCTTAATAAACCATCGAGAAAATGGGATTTTTTATAGAGATAAAGCTAAATCTTGAATTATGCCATGAAATCTCTGAAAAAAACGTTACTTAATCCCCATTACTCTCAATCATTCTGCCCCTCGTATGACATTATTTGCTTGCATCATCAGGCAAAGTAACGCAATTGAAGAATGAATTTACCTACACCAAGGATGTGAAAAAATTGTTCTCTATTATAGTCATAATATTATTATCATTATTATTATTCTACGAAGCATTTATCGTGGCGTATGGTTCAAACGAACTTTGAGGGCACGTCACACATTAGATTAATAGCAAGCGAAAAATTAATAAACTCAAGAAAGAATGGGAACAGATGAAATGACTATATAAGCACTAGATTCATAGGCTCTACGAAATAGTTCCATCTTTAGGCGTCGACGAAAGACGAAATAAAGTATTATATTCATACAAGGTACGAAATCCACTTGAATCCAACGAGAACTCAGTTTAATTTACTGATCATTATCGGAATATACCATATCATGACATTTGAACATGAATGTGATATTATATCGATTGAATGTAGTTTTCCATTAATATTGGATTTTTTAAACCGAATAAAGAAGGCATTACGTCAGCACGCAGCTCGTCGGCCACGATATTGAAGTGAAGCTTTGCCCTGCGTATTTTTTGGCGTCGCAACGCTGCTGAAGTGGGCACTTCGATGCCCATCATGCGCCCTCAAGGGACCCATTGTTGCTCAGACGCGGGCATTCCTCCCCACACTCTCGAGTCTCTGCCAAATTGTTGCTTAGAGAGCATCGCTTCTATGCCATCAAACTGCTCATTGCTAACTGAGAAAAATTAAATTTTAATAATTAAATATTGTAATTTTTCGATGAGGTCCGTTATGAAACTGCTCATTGCTAGCTGAGAAAATTAGGTTTTAATAATAGGAGCTAGTAATTTTTCGATGAGGCACGTTATGAAACTGCTCATTGCCAACTGAGAAAAATTGTATTTTAATAATATAATATTGTAATTTTTCGATGAGGCACGTTATAAAACTGAACATTGCTAACTGAGAAAAATTATATTTTAATAATAAAATATGGTAATTTTTTGTTGAGGCACGTTATAAAACTGCTCATTGCTAGCTGAGAAAAATTATATTTTAATAATAAATAGGATAATTTTTGCGAGGCTCGTTATGAAACTGCTCATTCTAAACTGAGAAAAATTAAATTTTACCAATAAAATATGGTAATTTTCTGATGAGACACGTTGTAAACCTGCTCATTCCTAACTGAGAAAAAATAAATTTTGATAATAAAATATTGTAATTTTTCGATGAGGCCCGTTATGAAACTGCTCATTGCTAACTGAGAAAAATTAAGTTTTAATAATAAAATATTGTAATTTTTCGATGAGCCACGTAATGAAACTGTTCATTGCTAATTGAGAAAATTTAAATTTTAATTAAAAAATAAGGTAATTTTATGATGAGACACGTTATACCATAGAGACACGTTTTCTGATGAGACACGTTGCTCATTGGGGAATGTGAAATAAATAAATTTTAGTAAATCTTTGATTAAGCATCTACATCTATAAGCCTTCGACGTTACATAACATAAAATCGAGTTTGACATTTCTAAATTTTGAAATATCTGTAAAACTTTACGATGAGGAATTCAACAATAAGCCTAACTCCGGAGGGGTGTTAAGTCATTTGATTAAATCACTTGTTCTGTCAAGCCAGCAGTTAACAAATTCATCGTGAAAATTTGATTTTTTCAATATTTAAAATTTACTCGCAAATTTGAAGGAAAAAATTGACCAATGCATAGGGATTGCTAAGCTTCCTAAAATGCGCCAAGTGAAAGATCATAGTAAAGGTTTTAACGCTTATGCCTTCATACTCAACTCTTAACGTCAAGCAAATGCATCGTGGTGATACGTGCAATAAAAATACAAATTTATTTACGACCAGCATTTTTTCAGGTGTGTGATGAGCTTAAGCTGCTAGTCTCCATATAAATTAGAATCCCCCACTGCAAAGTTGTGTGTTGGTTGGGCATTGCTGGCATGTACTGCATGTATATATTTATGTCCATGCACATCAAAACGGCAAGTGCAATTTTATAGCACTTACATAGTCTCTGATTATCTCACAGAAAATGAATATCTTCATTAGAACAAGTGAACTGAAGGAAGCTTCTCTTTGGTGCAAAATTATCGGATTAAAACCCTGAACCACACAAAATTTCGAAAGACTGTCTTCGGCAAGTCTAAAATTGTGCAATTGAATAAGTTTCTGAACTCTATATTATTAAGAATGTTTATTAATATAAAAATTCAAATTTATAAATTTTAAATACTGATTACATTTCATTGCTATTATTTTAGCATTGTAAATGTAATTTTAGGGGACAACGTGTGCCTATTTATCTTGATATATTGTTTGCTACACTCGTATATGCCAAACATTGTGAAGTATATTCATTCATTTTTTTGTATAGTACATTAATCCACATAATTGTCATCATCACAAATAATTCATATATACATTCACATATCTACATCTATACTGCCATGCAGTACAAGAAAAGATTTCAAAACGTTTAATATTTTTTAAATGCCCTATTGACGAATGATAACTTTTCTTCAAGTAGAAAACCGTTAAATTTTCTACCAGGAAATTTAACGAGTTCAATATTTATATTGCACGAGTTCAATATTTTCAAAATTTCAATAAAAAATTTCATTTTCGAGAGTTCAGTAAGCGG